TCTGCATACTCTACAGTCGTTATCACTCTTCCTCCAATTTTGAAGTGTCCTGTTATGACTTATAAATAAAAAAACCTGAAGTGAAGCAAATAGAGAGATAAATATAGAGAAAGACATAACAATTCTTGCAGAATTTTCTTACAGAAACCACTTGTTGAAGACAGAGGAGATGGTAGGATGATATTAAGATGATCTTGTGGAGCAGGATATGCGGACATGAGGCATGTAAATGATTTGGGGCTTTGGAATGAGCAGTGTTGAACCTTTGGGTTGAGTCAATCGATCTATCGATACCACTGACCTCGAGAACAGTGTTGTGTTTTTAGATAAGTCACAGGAAGCGGAGCCCAGCGTCAGAGGAATGCGTGGTTAAGTTTACCTAAGCGATAAGAAGCGAGCTGTGCGAGCTGCATAAGCAGCATGCGGTGTCATATGACATGACCTCTGAAACGTTGGTTAACATCTACCAGACTACACGATGAAGGTAGGATAGTTTTTATAAATTTAATTCATGAGAAGTGTGTAAAATCCGATGATGGTTGTCTTCTTGATTGTAGCGCCGTGTAGTCTGGTAGAAGATTACCAACGTTTCAGTGGTCCTTGCTGCTTCCATCATCAAGGCTAACCGGTCGGACACACGTCTCTAAGGCAATGTCCTACGTGAGCGATAAGAAGCGAGCTGTGCGAGCTGCATAAGCAGCATGGGGTGTCATATGACATAAGGGAATCGCTTGTTGTGTCCTACGTGAGAGAAACACACGGTCTTCCTGCGCATGTCCATTCCCTGTACTGCACGGTCAGAGCTTCCTTGCGCATGCGCCTTACTGGCCAGCGCAGCGACCTGCGCGAAAATATCAAAATATCTGATCTTGAACTTTGGCCGCCGACCGCTTCGCTGTAACATAGGACAGCGCCACACAAACAGCCAGTTTGATATTTCCGCTTCACCCACGCAACTCGCACCGCTCGCTTTTAATCGCTCACGTAGGACACCGGGTAAGAGACCGAACGTGTAGGAAGTCATTGTCGCCGTGTGCCTGTGAGCGAAAACAGAGAACGTGTGCAGCCTTCGTGCTGGAGAAGTGGCAGTGTAGAACGTCAATGTTTAACCCGTTCCACATCATGAACGGGAGTTCCAACTCTGGAACACGAACTTCTGCTGTGAATTTGGGTGTTTTTCAGTGAAAAATATTCTTGTCCTTTTTATTCGTTGTTTCAAATTAGCTGCTTTCGGCGTTTTATCGATTCCAGTAATGGCTGCGTTGCTAATATATATGCATGAATTTTCAGAAATACTTAATACTACTTTATATTTACAAATCGCTTATGTCAACTTTACAGATTTTTGTTTTAACAATAACGAATGACAAAAAAATACTCAAAATGTGATTGATGATACGTGACAAATTATTTGCGATGGATATGGAAGGAAGTGGTCGTGACCTTTCTTGACCTCCAGGATGTACTACAGAATGGAACGAAAGCCCTCAGTAAGGATATTTGGTCTCCGATTCAAGACTTGAACCCGATTGTACGGTTCTAGACCTTTTCTGCTACATCAGCCTGCTCGTTCCTTCTGAAAGAAAAGTTTGTCCAGGCGTTTGGAGAAAGGGCATTGCTTCAGGGAGGGACTGCGTTATTGGATACAAGTACGCGGTTTATGAGACCGTTCGGACGCCTCTCGATCGCTTCTTCCCACGTGACGCCTCCGTCCTTTTGGAAGACGCCTCTTCGTGTCATTGACCAGAGGCGGATATTAAAATTTATTTAGTGTTCTTCAAGTGCAAGGTGAAGCATAGATCAGGTTAATTTCACACACGCACAAAACTCTCTCTCTGTTTAATATTGAACACTCATCTGTCCCCTGTGTGTCATCCAACTTTCTAATTGTAATCAAAATCGTCACCTTAGACATGCAGCCCCAATTGGCCCCATTCCACATACCGACACGAAATACTTTTCAAGAACATCGGCTATTTCAGCTCTGTATACGATGTTTTTGACCGCCACGGTGGTCTAGCTGTTAGAACGCTGTCCTTGTAATCCTGGGGTCTCGGGTTCGATTCCCGGCGGTGCCCGAATTTATAACTTGTGTTGGGCAAGGCCGTGGTCTAGGCAACACGGAGTTTTCCTCCGTGGCATCCCAACAATTACTCCATTCACACACAGAAGAAGGCAATGGCAAACCCCTTCTGGATCATCTGCCAAGAACGTATATGAACAGGTCTTAGTTCGAGAAAAGGATGGAAGGATCCTGTTCATATGGACCTGTCGTCAGACAGAACACTAAATAAATAAATAAATAATAAAAATACGATGTTTATATCACCGACAATAAGCTGTCTTTTTCTGGATTAGAGCACCATGTAGTCTGGTAGAAGTTTACCGACGTACCAGAGATCATTGGTGCCTCCATCAAAACCCACGATGATAGGATTAGCTGGATATTCTACTCACCCAGAGCCTCCAGGTTCGGGTGGAGACAATTAATGTCTCGGATAACATTTGAACCCAGGACTTGCGGAATATGAAGCAAGAATGCTAATCACTCGGCGACAGAACTGTTCTTTGTGAGTCTCGGTTAGCATCCAGTATCTCTGTAAAAATATGCAGGCTTGTATGGCTCCCTAAAACTTTACTATTATCTAACTCAATGGTGCACCATTTTTCTTCAGAAACTGATACTCCCTGAGCTAATTAAGAAACTATTCGTCTCTTATAGAATCAGAAGTTTCGTTTGTTTGCTCACAAGAGCCCCGCTAATCTTTCGTATCGTGAGCCGTATGAATCCAATCCACACCCTCCCACCTTAGTCCGTTAAAATTCTTCGTAATATTATACGTATTCCTACCTACATCTTGGTCTCTATTAAAACTCCAATTTATCGTCATTCTTCTTTAGATTGTCCAAATATTGTGCTCACTCTTAGTCGGTGTTCTTCCCTTAATATGTGAGATCTAATTTTACACCCATACGATACAGTAGTATTGTTTGAAGATGGCTGTCTTCAGACTCAACGTCATAAAGACTTCAAATCTGTTTGATTTAATCTTTACAGAATATACAAGATTCTGAATAGCGAATTTAGTGTCTTCTGTAATTTCTTCGTGAATATATTTTCGAAAGATTTTGTTATTTGGTCTGATGACGAGGCAATAACGTATATGTTGCGTGTTCGTAGTTCTCCGCAGACAGTCTTTCTACATAGCATCTAACTGCACTAGTTGTAACTTGGACACTCACGTGGTTGTGACGTCACTGCGACGGCGCAGGCGCAGAGCATCAGCCATGGCAGCAGGCACATCTGAAACAAGGAAACGTCGTCATGAATATGTGGACAGGCATACCTCGGAGATATTGCGGGTTCG